AAATAGAATCCACGAATTTTTTGGAGGTAAATTTAAGGCTACAATAAGGAAATATAATTATAGTTTTAAGAATTCTGTCCGCCTTCAGGAACTAAGATGTTAAATGTAGGATTATATATTGTAGCAATGATAAACGTATGCAAATTTACACTATGCTACAAGCCGGAAGGTCGGAGGTTCGAATCCCGATGAGGTCATTGGATTTTTAAATTAACATAAACCTTCCGGCCGCACTATGGCCCTGGGGTCGACTCAGCCTCTAACAGAAATGAGTACTAGGAAGGAATCTTCATTGGGGGTAAAGGACGACCGGTGCGTAAGGCTGACGACCTCACCGCCATCTGTGAGCCGATTATCTAGAAAACATGGAAGCCTAGGTGTCTCACAACCATATGGGCCTCCACGGCCTGTTACAGGGATAACTTGGAGTGTAAGGCTGACAACCTCACCGCCATCTGTGAGCCTATTATCTAGAAAATGTGAGAGCCTCGGTGTCTCACAACCATATGGACCTCCACGGCCTGTTACACGGATAACTTGGAGTGTAAGGCTGACAAACTCACCGCCATCTGTGAGCCTATTATCTAGAAAATGTGAGAGCCTCGGTGTCTCACAACCCTATCGGCCTCCACGGCCTGTTACAGGGATAGCTTTACCTTAGACTGCGTTGATTATACCATCGAAAGCGTACACAAAGTGTTCGTCCCTTTACTTTGGCTCCCTATTCATATCTATCGCTATCGTTAGGAGCAAAGCCCGCTACAATGAGTATTGTACGTGCTTGTATTACTGTCAGCATTCAGTTCATTGGCTCATTGGATTATCCGATGTAAGCACCGAGTGTTATAAAAGCACTCGCCGTTAATGTGTGATCACACGGGTTGCATGGCCTAAATCTGCTTCATGGGGATTTTGATGTTTACCGTTTTCCAGCTCTGGACTCTAGCTCAGGGATAATCGAACCGATCGACGTAGCGGCAAAACTCTCGCCTCGTATCCGGGATGTACTCCATTCGAACCTCGACCGAAACACTGGCAAACCTGGCTGAGGTTCTGAGCTTTTCCCTAAGTCCCTGCACGTAAATCCCGGAATAAAATGTAAGTTTGTCCCTTTACGTAGCTAATTAATTCCTACGTCATGAAGGCGTATAGGGGGCGGGTGTATAAATCCACGTATTCTTGACCTCGGCACTAGATATAGGTGAGTGGTCACCTTCACGATCCGGCCGCTTTACCCCCTGGGATAAAAGCCCCCGATACCCATTGCATAGGAGGCTGAGTGGGCCTCAGAGCGGGTCTTGACAATGTGGAGTAAGGAAAAGAGTCCTGCCGATACTGGAACTCGAACCCTGACAGTCCATCCCGTGGCACGACACTATTAGGCTCTCATTTTTTTCAGATTTCTTCTTTGGTATTTCACAAATTTAAATTTATGTTCATTTAATGTATATACCAACTCATTATTTTGGATGCAAACACTGAGCAGGTTGGTGTAGCGTTAACGCAATAGAATTCTGCTCGAAAGGTGACCGGTTTGATTCTCGGCTGGGACAACGGCTGTCCAGATTGAGGCATTTCGTGATTTCTCTCAGTCCCTCCAACCAGTTTATGCCTGTAAGTGTGCTTGGTCGTATTCTATAATTGACCCTTGGACTGTTTTGTGAGCAAGTAACTAAATATGAAATCCGTTAATTAATATTTGTTCTCATATATATAATTAAATGTTATACTTTNTATCAAATATTAACGGCAGTAAACCTACACATGACTAACAAAATATCCACTGAGAATTCAACGGAATTCTGTTCATTTCTTATATTCCTCTTCATGTTATTTAAATCCGGGCCGCCTCTGTGGTCTAGTGGTCAGCATTCCTGGTTACAGATCCAGAGGTTTGGGTTCGATTCCCGGTGCTACCATATTTTCTGAGAAGTAGTGGGTCTGGAACGGGGGTCCACTCAGCCTCGTAAGGATAACTGAGGAGCTATTTCAAGGAAATGGCAGCTCCGGTCTAGAAAACCTAAATTAACGGCCATGGGGATCCGTTGTGCCGGCCACGTGACACCCTCTATCCACAAAATTTGGCACTAACTTCGTCGACAAGCGGAGGTCGCTCGATCGGTATAGATCGCTTGCGGACTACAGACCACGGAGTTTGTTTTATATATATATATTTATTTACTTTTATCACTTCTTAACGATAGATTTGTTTTTGTTAAAGGAATTTTTATTACTTACTCTTATTATGAATAGTATATTATCATATATTATAAATAAAGAATTTAATTTAATTATTCCACTACACTAAGTAAAGCGTATTATGAATGACTGGATTCGTCATTCAGCAATTTTCCTCCGTTTTCACCAAGCATTTCACTGTATACGTCAACAGTATTTTTATTTCCGTTTTAATTTTCTGCGCGTTTTTACATCGGGCCAGCCTGTCGGATACATCTGTTTTGTATTCTCATATTGAAAATCAACATTCTTTGTCCTCTGCCATCGGATGCCCACGTAATATGAATGCACGTATTTCAAATGACAAGTGACTCCAACGGAACGTACAAAGCTATTCATCATTCAAACGCAGAGACAATTTAATTGAGTTTCCTTGCACCTGTTCATTCTCTTACGCACGTCTACATCTGACAACAGCGCAACAAATTGTTCTTTCGTTATCAGTTCGTTATTCCTTCTGTACACGCGCAATCAATTATCTCCTATCCACCTCACAGTTTCCTTAACATACGAGACACATTTGACCTACCTTACTTTGTGGATGTCACTGAACAGTCCTGTCCATCATATCCGCTTTCCAACCCCTGTGATGCGTTGATTTATTATGCAACATGGACCTAATAAAATATCCGTGAAGTGTTTTATTGCTTCAGCTGTGTATAAAGCCATAAATTTAAAACCCTACAGTACACGGTTCTTTCAGTAGACATTTCCGGTTCAACAAAAATCTGTTTTCATCTCTTTCAAGACCTCAAGTCAATGTTTTCTGTATACTTTAATTAGTCACTGAACAGAACAAGAAAACAAGTTGTCTATCGAAAAATATAGAATTTCCTACGCGACTGTTGGAGGTACATTCAGGGCTGGATTTAATGGGGAGTCAACCGGAGTAGTCGCCCCGGGGCCTCCACGGAACGTAAATTCATTCCACAGATTTTACTGAGACATTTTATTCTCTAAACTCAACGAAAATTTAACTTGTATTTTTAGTTATTATAAGAAATAATGAAAGAGGGAATTATCATAACCGAAAATAATCCTTACTGATAAAGGCCTCTACATTTTGACTGCCTTGGAGACCACAAAGTTGGATATGTTCCTGGTAAAATAGCAGTTGGCAAGACCAAGACCTGGTGGGAAATATTGGGTTAGGGGAACCTCAGCTATCACCAACTTCCATTCAATCCTAACCTGCCTAAATATACACACAAAATGAGTTGTAAAGTAAAAGAGTGTCACAGAGAGACGCACCAATTGATAGCTCGCTAGTTAAGAACCCAGTTTCGGATGTTCTGCTTTCCCATCCATCAGGGAAGTCGTCGTGCCGACGCATTCCTCATGTTTCTGCACAGATAAAATCATGGGTACATAAAGCCACATACAGCAGCTGACAAACCGGATGCAAACGAAAATATGGTCCATAAATGGCCGTACTTCTTGCAGACAGGATGCTATGACACTTATATAGTTGAAACAGTATAATTATATATCCAAATAATCATCATCTCGACTCTAAAGATTCAGAAACCAAAACAAAATAAAACGAAAATATTTCCAATCAATATACCCTTCCGAACCCTGTTCTCAGACACCTTTGATCTGTGTAGGATTTGAGGTTCTCACAGCTGTGATTTTGAAGAGTTCCTTCTTCTGGGATAGAACGCCATGTAGTCCGTTGAAAGTCAACCGACTTTTTGGAGTACCATGTCGCTTCCAGATTCGGGGTTCAGGAGTAATCCAGACATGTAGACCGCGCCATAGCTCAAGCGGTTAGTCGCTGGCTTCACACCGCGGCAGCCCGGGTTCGATCCCGGGTCTGGTCAAGTGGGATTTGTGGTGGACAAAGTGGCGCTAGGGCAGGTTTTCTCCGAGCACTTCGGTTTCCCCTGCCAATCTTCATTCCACCAATTGCCCCACAATCACCCTCACCTATCATCTGGGTCTGGTACAATAGGCCAGAAGTGGCCGCAGTACAAGGGACTTAGTCCCACCCCAGTAGCAATAAAAGAAAATCCAAACATGAAACAAGCATGGAGCAGGTAGCAAGAACTTTTGCTGGCCCTTGTTGCTTGAGCTACGGTATATCCCACAAAACAGTGCTCTTCACCCTCAAGATACAATTTTCCCGACATAAAATTTTTAAACCTACGAAATTTAAGATTACGGTTTTCTGGTATGTTACGTCGCGTAGGTCGGTAAAATGGGTACCACCTTTTCGGAGGATTATGGTACCTTCATCTTCGGATTAAAAGATTTCAATTTACATCTTCAGAAACCCCAGATGCAGCATTTCACAAGAAGTAAGATAAAAGGTAAGGTTGTCCCTGTGTTTAACTAATTAAGCACTGGAGGAGAGGATGTATAGATCCATGTATTCTAGACCTCAGTACTAGTTCGAGGTGGATGATCAGCTTCACACCCCTGCCGCTTTACCCCCGAGAAAAGAGCCCTCGGTAACCATTGGGTATGAGGCTGGTTTGGCATCAGAACCGGTCTGGACGACGTGGAGAGGAGAATGATCTTTGCCTTATCCGAGACTCGAACTCAGACCCTTCTGCTCTCCGGCCCCTAGCCAGTCGCTCTCCTGACTGAGCTATCCCGTCTGTGTTTCACAGAATTGCGTATTAAATTCTTAATTGTAAAAAGCAGATTCTACTGGATATTGGCCTTTGCCTCGAGCTTCTCGGTCGAATGTGAACCGGCCTTGCAGTATATAAGTGCGGGGAGCGGGACCGTGAGTCTGAGCGGTTTGAAGGCGGAAAGGGAGCTGCACCATCCACGGAGCGCCAGTTCGCATTGAGGCTGCGGCCAGTGTGGTTGCCGTGGTGTACGTGCTTGTTTTGTGCTCGTGGTAACCATGTTCTCACGCTGAGTCATGTGTGCGAGTGGTAACAGAGAAGTGACAAACCACGTATGTTATGTGACACGCTTCAGTCAGCAGCTGTCGCCTCGATATATCGAACGCCGATTGTAAAGAAAACATTCAGGACTGATTCATGGCGCTGTTTTATTACACTCTGTGTGGTGAAGTTATTTTAAATTAATCCTTGGCGATATCATGCGATACTGGCTTTTACGGTCATATGAGTTACATATCCTAATACAGTTTAACAAAATACTTGTCTAATTAATAACGACATGTACATTAATTTTCATGCTTTTGAGTCGTTATAAATTCTTGTGAATACGCAACGGGTATGCCTTGTTTCTGTACTCGTTCATTTCTGGTGTTGGGAGATGGCGGATTCTTGGTAATTGTGGTGAATTAAAATATTGAAGATAACTGAAGGTAAGCCGGTTTTGGAGAAAATTGTCAATTCCATAAGTTCGCAGGGCGTGTTACAAGATATTTACGTTGACCAGAAAGTGGAAGTAATAATTATTAAATTAGAGGCAACACTCGAATATTTTTAGATTGAAGACATTTTACTGATCCGTAGGTTTACAAGCTAACTAGAATGCGTGTGCATTAATCATGATGTCAGGTTACTGCAACAGAAGTTATAAAACTGTGACCATTTAATAGACTATAAATTCTATGTAGTATTTGCACCAGAACTTTCTTACGTGCTTCGGCGGATAGGTTCACACGTGTGAGCATACATACGTCCCCAAGCACCGTCTGAGACTGAAAACGACACGGTTTCGGAAGAAAATTGTCAATTTGTATTTTGTTTTTGAAAATTCGAAACTTAAACCATGCTTCTAATTAGTTCTTGAAATCCATTAAGCGAGAGAGAATAAGAAATCAGAAATCTGATTTTTAAATATTACATAATTATTCGATTAATTCGGGGTTTTTTTTTTTTAAATGTTGCAAGTCATTAGACGAAAAGAAACTGCGGGTGTGGTTACAGGAAAGGAGTAGGGTGAGAATTCTACCCCACACCGAACTTCATACACGTTTTCTTATTGTCATATTTTCTTCTTCTCTTCTGTATTGCAACAGGTAAAATACCATAGACTTTGCCATACTTTTACCAAAAAGGGGAGGGGGCTTCCAAAAATGTTAGGCACATAAGCTTCTTGTTCTTAAATAATTATAAGTTCGTGTGAATATGTATCGGACATTCAGCATCTGTTTGTATCAGAACAAGTTAGTTAGACTAGTACTGCTTATATTAACTTTACCCATGATAAAGATGTATTTGTAACGTCTACAGAAAATGTGTCCAGTTTCTTTTCCATGGTTAATAATTGTATTAACGACATATTACTTGCTTAATTAGGAAGACGTTTAACTGTAATAGGACAGATGTGAAATAACATTTTTTCTTTCAACAAGAAAAACAAACTTAAACTAATTTTTAAAAATTACGCGTGTTTTCCTGTCGCGTGGGATTTAAAATGTTACTGTTTTGCCTGTGTTTTTCGCTTGAGCAACGTGTGTTTATTTTATTACGTTGCAAGGGGAATAACCTGAACGTCAGAAACGTCAAAACATTATTTCGTTTTTGATTGCTGTCTACAACAACGTGAAATTGAAATAAAAAAAAACACGAGCGAGCTGAATGAACCAAAAAAGAGAAAAAAAAACGAAATGGCATTTTAAATTAACGTGAATAGGTCTACATATCTCAACGGGCCAGTGAAAAACATTTCGTCTCACATGACTGAAGACCTGTATGTATATTTTTATGCACCATTTAAGTTTCGAGATCTATTCTAGTCGATGATGACATGTCCATCGAGAGATAACAGTGCTTCTCGTTAAATTACAACAAAACAGACTGGTGGTGAAATGTTTATGTAATGAACAGCAATAAACATTAACATTTAAACATGTCTCATCACCGTTTAACCTGGTTTCTTCATCAGCCAAGATGTTCAGGTCTATGTTTGTTCGTCACAGTATATCTAAGTTTGTTTGTGATTGCTGGGGTGCTACTGTTTGGATCCCTGTCTCAAATTCGTAACAATAATGCCCCCTCAGGAAGCAAGAAGAGAGCGTATGTGAGTGACGAAGACGGTGAGAGGTCAGCTTCGTATGGAGCCAGGTACTACAACAGTCGTTCACGTGACGATGACTACGACTGGAAGAATTTGTTGTACTCCAACAGAAGCCAGTATCATTACGAGAAATATCACGAAGAAGGTGCTGAGGAAGTGGATATCCATGATAAGTTAACAGCCACATGGACAGGACAGGGTCTCCGCTGGCCTTACAGCAATCCAGCACTCATCAATTGCTCATCTCTGCAGGATGTGACTGATTTGGATTTTGTCGCTTCCGGTTGGACAAAGGCAGTATATAAGGGAAGGTAAGACGGTTCAGTTACCATGAACTTAATTGATTCTGTAGAACAAATATTTGTCACCTTCCTTTGTTACCTCAGTACTTTCGGGTTATCTACTGGGAACTCTCAGTTTGTAAGGAAGCGAAAGTAAGCGATTAGTTCTTTCCGGAAATCGTTATTTACTTTAAGAGGATCCATGAGTGGGAAAAGTCGAAATATTTTTCCAGCGTAATTTCAATGCATGGAGTGGCTTAAGACCGCCTCTGTTGTCAGAGTTCCTGGCTACAGATCCAGAGGTCCCTGGTTCGATTCCCGGCGCTACCAGATTTTCTGAGAAGCAGTGGGTCTGGAAATGGGTCCACTCAGCCTCGTGAGGATAATCTAGGAGATATTTGAAGGAAATAGCGGCTCCGGTCTAGAACATCGAAATTAACGGCTGTGGGGATGCGTTTCGCTGACCACGTGACACCCTCTATCGGCAAAAGTTGTCACTAACTTCGCCGATAAGAGGCGGTCGCTCGGTCGGTATAGTGCGCTTGCGGACTACATACCACGGAATTTGTTTTCGTTTTTGAGTGGCATGAATTTTACGGTACAGTGTGAAGACAAGAGCTCGCTGTTGGCTGCGTTGGATATAGACAGAAGCTCGTAATGAGGGACGTTTATTACGTTGTCATAGCGGAGTCGGACAAAGAATTCTGAAGTCCTTCACCCCGTCTACCCTCTCACCCTGCGATCATTTTACCCACACCACAGTTCCACCCTTGTATCCTCTGCTTTTAAATTATTTTTCTCCTTATATTAGTTTATTTAGACAGCCCTCCCCTCCTAGCAACTCATCCCCACCGCCCGTGACAGTTCTTTGGCTGGTTCAACTATAGTAAGTAAATTATTAAGCCGTCTATTTCTCTCAGAGCTTTTGATCATGTCTGTGTTATTGAGTCGTATTTGACCCACATAGGAGTCCAGTCGAACCGTCTTCTCCCGCTTGAACACTAGGGGGTTTCGAATCCCACTCTAGGCATGGATGTCTGTGTGCGTTTATTCTGTGTTTGTGTTGTGTGTGTAGGTAGCGGCCTTGCAACTGGCAGATCTCGCGTCGAAGGAGTCCTACGGACTGTCTAAGATTAAGAAACTAAAAAGCGGCCAATGTCCAAAGGGCTGTAGAGCCAGAGAGAGAGAGAGAGGTATTGCATATATTGTACTATGGATGTTTAGGACCGCCTCTGTGGTCTAGTGGTCTAGTGGTCAGAGTTCTTGCCTACAGATCCAGAGGTCCGCGTTCGATTTCCGGCGCTACCAGGATTTTCTGAGAAATAGTGGGTCTGGAACGGGGTCCACTCAGCCTCGTGAGGATATTTGAGGAGGTATTTCAAGGAAATAGCGGCTCCGGTCTAGAAAACCGAGATTAATGGCCGTGGGGATCCGTTGCGCTGACCACGCGACACCCTCTATCCGCTGAAGTTGACACTACCTTCGCCGACAAGCTGCGGTCGCTCGGTCAGTATAGTTCGCTTGCAGACTACAGGCCACGGAGTTTTTTTTGTCTTATAGACATCCAAATATATTAAGAAAACGGCTTCAATTATATATATATGTACATACGTATCTTTGAACAGGGTGTATGAAATATTACGGGATATTTTGTTACGGAATTGTGGTACAAATGTGAATCAGGCCGAACGAAAAAACAAATTGACAAAGTAACAAACACGGCAAGTGAGATAATTAGACAATGCGACAGATGTTTTATTCTGTAATATGATAATGAACTGAATGATATTCTGCTGGCCAGTAGAGTGACAGTGCTCAAATTCGGTCACCTTCAGACCGGCGTATGCAACAGGTCGGTCAACAGAACTAAGGGCTCGCATAGATTGAAATTCTTGGAATCCACCTTTTCGAATATTATTTAGTTGTCGGAAGAGCAATGTGGCAGTTCTTCTCAGTTATCCCTTTCTCTTCCACTTCTAAATGGACCAACAGGGCAAGTTTCGTAATTTTATTCCACCATGGACCCAAAGGCATCTTTCGAAAGACCATGTTTCTATAACCATATCGAAACAATAGAAAATGTCCAGCATGTATGTATCAGCTCACATATCTGTGGTTTTCTTTAAAGTAATTCGTAACAATATCGTATTACTTAGAATATAAGACGCACATTTTACACACTTTATACCTTGAAAAATTGAGTTACCTCATAAATTCGAGAAATCAGAATTTTTGTATTTTTTTCCCCCTAAAACCCACATTCAGAAATTAGTATGCTGCTTAAATTCGACGGCGTCTTGTATCCACAGTAATACGGTATATTAGGCCGCGCCAGATCTCAAGCGGTTAGTCGCTGGCTTCCCACCGCGGCGGGCCGGGTTCGATCCCGGGTCTGGTCAAGTGGAATTTTTGGTGGACAAAGTGACGCTGGGGCAGGTTTTCTCCGAGTACTTCTCTTTTCCCTGCCAATCTTTTTTCCACCAATGAATGAATGAATGAATGAATGAATGAATGAATGTACAAGGGGTGGGCCTTCTTAGCTCTTGCACCGCGACCACAGTGGTCTATTGTGGCTCCCATTCTGATTATCCCCTCAACAATCCGGCTCTTCGAATGAAGCGTAGGATTTTGTAGGTGGCGACGTCGAAATAGTCACTTGGTTCCATAAAATACTGACCCAAGTGACGCAATCTTAATTAAGCTGAGGCCTCACATTCGCACAGGATATGTGTGGCTGTTTCGTTTTCTTCTTGGCACCTCTCACAAGTTGGACTATCACTTAGTCCCAGTTTGAAGAGGTGTCCTTTGAGGTTACAGTGTCCTCTAAGTAGTCCTACCATCCATCGTAGCTGGTTCCTGTTTAACTTCAACAGTTCCTTCGCTCTTTTAGTAGAGGGTCCTCGTATGAATCCCTTTGCTTGCCTGAGTCCAGTCAAGGATCCCCTGTTCATTCCATCAAATTCCCCATCATCATAATCACCGGGGGAAGACTACAATAGGCCAGTGAGTGGCCGCCGGGCCGAGTGGACCCAGTTGGAATCCACCCCTCAGTAAGCGAATTTAATTTTTTTTAATACGGTATATTGCTTAAAAGTGAAAGTTCAGTACAATAGAGGTCTAGAAATAACGCTCTAGATTTGTATTCGATAAGTGCTCGGTTCGCATCTTGGGCGAGTCACCAGTTATCATGACTGGCGTCTTTTATGGCTTTCCTCAATCACACCAGGCGAATGCCGGGAAAATAACTCGCATGGGTCAAGACAGCTTCCTCCTACATTCTTTCCAATTCATCATCATTCGTCAGTCCTACCATTTGAAAGCGTCATTAGCCCTTTAAAGGCTGTCAGAATCAGAGTCAGTCACGCCCATCGGCTGGTCTTGGCGACATGCCCCTTGAGACTCAAGCCCAGACTTTTTTTTTTCAACTGAACACTTGCGGTCATAGTCCTTATGTAACATCATCTCTGTCGAGAGGATGGGTCTGTCGTTTGCAATTGTTGGTGACTCTCGCCAGCGCAGTCATTCTCAAGTCCGAGTCCCACAGGACTTATGACTATATTTTACTATCTCAGATTCGAGGCTGCCCAACCTGGAGGGCGTAATTATATACCCCAAGAACAGAGTGGCTCAGTTATACCCCCAGGCACTGGGTTCCCTTTTCTTCGCCTCCTACGACTCGCAGGGCTACGGTGGAGATATTCGACCCCGCCTCCACACGGGATCTAAAGGCTGAGTTTGCTCTAAATAGTGTATAAAAATGCAGTCCATACCTCACAGGAAACACTACGTCTCCGCTACAAAGCCCAGCCGGTTAATGCTGTTTAGGGAAACAGTCGCTGTTGACCGTGAGAACCATACGGAACACACAGACACACTCTGTGGGCAGAATGCAGAGTTTTAGTGTGTTCAGTCCGTACCTCACAGGAAACATTACGTCTCCGCTACAAAGCCCAACCGGTTAATGCTGTTTAGGGAAACAGTCGCTGTTTACTGTGAGAACCATACGGAACACACAGATACACTCTGTGGGCAGAATGCAGAGTTTTAGTATGTTCAGGCCATACCTCACAGGAAACACTGCGTGTTCGCTACAAAGCCCAACCAGTTAATGCTGTTTAAGGAAACAGGCGCTGTTTATTGTGAGAACCACATGGAACACACAGACACTCTGTGGGCAGAATGAAGAGTTTTAGTATGTTCAGTCCATACCTCACAGGAAACATTACGTGATCGCTACAAAGCCCAACCGGTTAATGCTGTTTGGGGAAACAGTCGCTGTTTATTGTGAGAAAGACACAAATACACTGTGTGGGCAGAATGCAGAGTTACGGTACGTTGAAAGCAGGTGGTACATAAGTAATCACTGGGCTTTAAAGGGTTAAATAATCTATGGGGAAGAATTCCGTTACATAGACCAGAATTTTAGATTTCATGCTCTTAGGCTACAGAATGGTGGAAACAAGTTCAGCACCTGAAACATTCATTTAATCAAAGTAGAATGAGGGAAAATTTCCAGCATTATTTATTTTACAGACCTTTAGACTAAGTACTAAAATGTATTTAATAAAAATATATATAGGCAATTTGAGCCAGGATATATACTGAACTCGACAGATTAATATGTTAACCCTTAAACCTTACGGTGAAGTCCGGTGGTAATGGTGGACGTGGGGGCTCGGAAGTGTTCATTCAGTATTGAAATATGAATAAGGGACTCTGGAGTACAGAGGAGCGTCTGTTATCTACGGTATTCTATGCGCTAATACAGTTGTAAGCTGCTTAAGACTTAACAAGACAGGCTTGTCCACGGATTTGAAAGACTGTCCAAACCGGATACACGAAATTAACGTTTCAGATTATTGATTTATAGATGAGGTGGCATTACAACACAGCGCCAAATTCATTAGTAGCTCAAACGATAGCGCCATAACTTGCAACGTGCAGGTACTGAGTTAGAACACCCTTTCGGGGCTCTACAATTTCTGTATGATAAAATTCCTTAATATCTTGAAATAGACCACGACAATTGTCTTTATAATTTTTTTTTTACTTCTCATTCAATACCACCGTCTTCTCGCCGCAGCTGTCCCAGTTTGATTTCAGGTTATGTTAGATTTGTGATGGATAAAATACTGGGGCCGGTTTTCTCCATGTATTTCAATTTCCACTGCCTATTTTTATTCAAAGCCGATCACAGTTGCCGCGCGGTCTAAAGCATGAATCGTTTTCGCCCGCTCGAGCACCGGGATCGTGGGTTCGAATCCCACTAGAGTCATGGATGTCTGTGTGCGTTTATTCTGCGTGTAGGTAGTGACCTTGCGAGGGCCTGATCCCCCGTCAAGGGAGTCCTACCGACTGTGTATAAGATTGGAACTGAAAAAGCGGCCAAAGTTCAAAGACTATAGAGCCATATATATATATA